CGTGTTCCAGGCACTCAGCCCTGAGCTGGCCCTGGAGGTGACACCTGGCTCACCCTGGGTCACAGGTGGGGTCACACAGGGTCACCAGGGTGTTCAGGACCCCCAGGGTTCAGGGTCACTTCAGTGTGCCCCCCTCTATTCCCAGCAGTTGCTGTGAATGTCGGCAGGACCCTCCTGTTCCTGCTCCTGCTCCTGGCTGTCATCGGGGACTGTCACTGGTGGCACCGCTGGGGTGGGTGACAATGGGGGGGGGAGGCAAGGTCCTACAGGAATCGGGGGACGCCCCACGCACTGGAGGGGCAGCTGGGGCATCACCCAAAGCCCCTGAGCTGGAGGAAGCTGAGCCCCCAGTGACCTTTGCTTGGGATGCTCACAGGTTTGGGGGCCTTTTGGAGGGTCCTGGGCTGTCTCAGGAAGGGCCTTGAGGAATATTTGGGTGACACTGGGATTTTTGGGGGCTTTTTGGGAGGTATTGGAGAGTTGTGCAGGGATGTTGAGAGCCCTCCAGTGATCCTGGAGCAGTTTGGTTCTTCCCTGCATTCTATTCTTGGGGTTCCTTGAGGCTTGAGGGGTGCTCAGGGGTTCGGGGTTCCTGGGGAAGGGGTTGGAGTACCTGGGTGGCTCAGGTGGTCTGGAGCTCCTCAGGGGTGCTTTGGGGTGCAGGGGCCTGGCAGTCCAGTAGAAATCAGTGTCTGTTGGGGACTCAGGGGTCCAGTGGGCATTTAAAGGTCCCAGGTTGGGTTGGGGCCCAGGGCACCCAATTATCACCCCATCCTCTTTTTCTTGCAGCTCTCAGGAAATCCCAGGACAGGTCAGTGGGGAGCTCCAGCCATGGCTCTGCCTGACCCCCTCCCCAGATACCCCTCAGACCCCCCCTTATCCCCACAGGGCCCTCCAGAACCCCCTTATCCCCTGCAGGTGGGGGAGGGGCTGGACATGAGGGGTCAGGGGGTGAGTATGGAGGATGGGTGGGGACATGGACATGTCACCCATGTGTGTCACCCCAAGCCAGGTGTCTTTACTGTCCCCCCCAAGGACTCCCAGGTGACCCACGCAGAGCTGCCAGGACCACATGGATGACTGCAGGACACCAGTGACATCCATGGGAAGGTGCTGTGACAATGGGGGACGGTGGGAGTCCCCATCCCATGGCTCCCATGGTGGCCCATCCTGCCTGGGGTGATGACCACGAGTCAGGAGGGGCTGCACAGGGCACCAATTGCTCCCCTTTCCCCCTCCCAGTGCTCCCAGTACACCCATGGCTTCCCTGGCTCCTCCCTATTCCAGGGGGCACAGGACCTATTTCCTTCTTATTTAGTCCAAAATGCAGCTTTTTGGTTAAACTGGCAGCGATGGTGTTTGTTCAGCTTTGTCGAGCTTTAGGAATGGGATTCTCCAGTTCTGGGCTGCCACTAAAACCAGGGGATGCTGCCCCTTTCCCTCCCAGTGGAGGCACAAAGATCCCAATGGGCTGAGTGAAGAACAATTTCCTGAAACAGCAACCAGAGAACAAAACCAACAGCAACAAGGTTCAGAGTCCAAAGGGTCACACAAGGAACGATTTCCTCGCAAAGCCCCCAATAAATTCCTGCTGGGGCTGGGCCTAGGAGGGGGCTCTGCTGGCTCGGCTCCGCGCCCTGCGCTCCACCTGGGCAAAATATTTGTCAGGAATTCCAGTGGCTCTGCAAAGGAAAGAATCCATCAGGCTGTAGTATATGGTAGAGATGATTCATGCTATTAATGTATAAAATATTGTAAAATCCAAGCTATGTCTTTTGACCACCCCAGCTGGGAGCAGAGTCTTATTTTCATTCAATTAGTTCCCAGACTATGTAAAGAAAATATTGAGTTTGTAAACGTAAAATGGAACCTTCCTGGGCCATGATCACTGACTTCCCTGGAGTGTCTGGGCTACTCAAGAGTGATCTGCACCTTGAAGATAGTATCTACTACCAGCACCTCCCTGTTACTTGTGAATGTGGAGTGCTCTGACAACATCCAGATACCTGGAACCAGACTTTTGTCTAACCCTGCACATGTGTAGCCCCGATTCTGCATGTGAAGGGACACAAAGGAACATTCAGTGATTTCTGCCTCAGGTGGAATAAACTGTATAAGAGCTCACTTCTGTGAACAGGGGAGACTCTGACACCCAGAGGTGTTCACCCAGCACCAAACCCCGGCTCAACACTCCCTTGGCTGTGGTGGTTTTTTTCCCCGATCAAAATTCTGCTTCGCTGACAATTTAATAAATCATTGCTAAATTTTCTTTTCAATTTGGCTCTCGATTTGATCATTTATAA